ATTTGGAAGTTTGCAGATTTGGAAATTTGGAAGTTTGAAGATTTGGAAATTTCAGAGTTTGGGGAGTTGGAAATTTGAAACTTTGGAAGTTTGCAGATTTGGAAATTTGGAAGTTCGAAGATTTGGAAATTTCAGAGTTTGGAAATTTGGAACTTTGGAAGTTTGCAGATTTGGAAATTTGAAAGTTCGAAGATTTGGAAATTTGAAAGTTCGAAGATTTGGAAATTTCAGAGTTTGAGGATTTGGAAATTTGGAAGTTTGCAGATTTGGAAATTTGGAATTTTGAAGATTTGGAAATTTGGAAGTTTGAAGATTTGGAAATTTCAGAGTTTGAGGATTTGGAAATTTGGAATTTGATCACACGAAGTTTAAGAATTCCAGAATTTAACAATTTAACATCCATAACCCTTCCATATCAAATCTCTCTTAAAATGTCCCTCAAATCCAAAACCAAAATGTCTCTCGTCAAAGACGAAGAGTACCATAAGAAGAAACATACCGATCAAACAACTGTTAACGAATGTTTTAATTATACCTGCGTTTTCTATCCATTTACTCCATTTTACGGTGCGAGACAGGCGCAAAACAGTCTGTTGCACGTCACTTTTACAGACCCTAGATAGATATACAGTTGCATTGACCCGATGTCAGTCTCCGTCGCGGACACGCGAAAATGTCGCAAGAACGATGACAGTTAGACGAGTCGTGGATCGGTTTTCCGTGACTCGTTTACGAGCACGTTGAATGTACCTGACATTCCGAGCGTGTACTCGCGGAAGAACGTGTTCTCGGACGAGTCACTCGTCTGGAATCTCTTGGAGGCAAGTAAAACCGGCCTTGGACCTCCTTGAGGCTTCCTCGTGTCAATATGCTACGTCTGCAACCTCTTCTCTTCTTCTTTGACATGCAGATCAGTCCTGCCAGAGGAAAGGAACGTGCCTGGCTTTCACGAACTGCCACTTCCAATCGCGATACGACGTTTGAATGCTCGCTGATAGCGATGGGACTAAACCAGTGGCATATATTAACCCTTGGAGGCGCCTACAGGCATTTGAAAAACTTACACGTACTATGGGTGCTCGATCAAGTTTATTCGTCATGCTGCGTTGGAATTGCCGAACTGCGTATTTGTGAAATTTCTGGAATTCAGTTAGCGATTCAAGAATTCAGTTAGAAGTTAGAAATTCAGGAAATATTAGAATATTTAAGTTGGAGAATTAGACTTCGGTGCACGTTTTTAATTCAATTTGATAAATAAGTAAATATTTTCTTTTCTATAATTGATAGAAAATTGTTTATATGAGTACTCATTTACGAGTATACAGGGTGCTCATTTACTACTCATTTTTCGTATAAATTGTAAGGAATTTAGAAAAATGGAAGAGGACAAAGTTTTAGTATATTCCATTAGCAACACAAGGACATGTATCGATTTTTTATACTAATTTCTCTTAGAGAGAGGGTATATATTATATCTCGAGAAATGAAGGTGAGCTACAGCTTTTTAACATTTAATGAACCATTTAACCCTTATTTAACCCTTAACCCTTCGCGCTCGAGAGGTGCCTCTCAGGTACAGTAATTTGAAATAAGCATTATTTAATTAATTCTATAATAGTGCTCATGTGATGTATAAACATAGTGAAATAGACAATAGTGGAAATTATTATAACTTCAAAAGAACTCATTTAACATTTTAATTAATATTTTAAAGTTGCTGTAAAACGATAAAATTATCTTCGAGTGCAAAGGGTTAATGTCATAGAGGAGGCATGGTCCTTTCACTTATCGGAGTTATTTTACATAGTTAAGCTTATTATATTTTGATTTATTAAAACAACTAAATATTTTCGTTTCCATAACTGATATAAAAATATTTAGTACGAAGTTTCTCTTCATATGAAAAACAGCTTGCACCTGGCAGCAAATAAACTTGATATGGTTCGTTGAAGATTAACCCTTATCGGTGGAAAGGTGTTTTTTGTTTGAACGTGGTGATAAACGACATTCTTGTTTAGAGTCTGACAGATTTTGCAGTTTAAAAGTTTGGTAATTCAGAACCGGAAAATTTGGAGATATCGAAATATTTAGTTTGTCATTTATTACTTTGGGAGTGAAAATTTGAAACTATATGGAAATAGTTGAAAGAGTATTTTTCGTTCCCACGGTATGCAGTTTATCGTAATAACCACGCCTCTGAATGAATAAATTTACACGCGGTTAGGCATGATTATGCATAGTCTGGTTCTCGACGGTTAACTAGCCCCAGGTTCATAACAGTTTTTGATTATTCATACTGCAGCCTCGTAAATAATCTTAATTTCCTGGTCATTGCAGGTTAATTAGATGTGGTCGTAATTTTCTTGTGTCACTCTACATCATGTTATGTCTATTGGCTTTATAAACTGTGCTTTACTTTTTCGCATAATAAAATTTGAAAACTTGAAAGTCTGAAAATCTAAAGATCTGAAAATTTGAAAATCTAAAAATCTGATAATTTGAAAATTTAAGAATCTTAAAATCTGCATATCTGCAAATCTACAAATCTGAAAATATGAAATTCTAAAAATCTAAAAATCTAAAAATCTAAAAATCTAAAAATCTAAAAATCTGACAATTTAAAAATTTAAAAATCCTAAAATCTGACAATCTGCAAAACTGCAAATGTGAAAATCTGAAAATTTGAAAATTTGAAAATCTGCAAATCTGCAAAACTGCAAATCTGAAAATCTGAAAATTTGAGAACCTGCAAATCTGCAAAACTGCAAATCTGAAAATCTGAAAATCTGAAAATCTGAAAATCTGAAAATTTGAGAACCTGAAAATCTGCAAAACTGCAAAACTGCAAATCTGAGAATATGAAAGACTGAAAATCTAAAAATCTAAAAGTCTGAAAATCTAAAAATCTAAAAATCTAAAAATCTAAAAATCTAAAAATCTAAAAATCTGAAACTCTGACAATTTAAAAATCTAAAAATCTGAAATTTTGACAATTTAAAAATCTAAAAATCTACTACCCATCAATACCTGCAAACACAAAGCACATACAGTACTCTGTACTCCATCCTCGCGATCAAAATTGCCCATCACTGTGCTAATTTATCGAATTAAAGATTAAGATGTACAACCAGACAGGCAATTTTTCTTCCTTACTCGATTTTTTGTTGTTCTTAAGCACTTTACGCGTGCTCAAAGATCCAAGTCAGCTTAAATGCTCTTTTTTCCGGGGTTCAAAAATCAACAGCCTTGAAATGCTTTCAGCTGATCGCGAAAGCTGAGGTTGCGTTGAAAATAGAACGTTCGCAACGGATGCATCGTGCAAACATAGCGGCTCTGTAATAATATTTGCTCGTTGAACGATATGTGCAAGGAACTTAGGGGAACCAAGGAAGCCGGGGAAACACGTTGATGCAACACAGAATGATTTTTCGTCGAAATTATCTTATCATGATTATAACACTTTAATTCTCGAGCTTGGCAATTTTCCATTGTTTAATCGTTCTTTCTGTGTTGATTCACTTTTTGTTTCAAAATTCTTTTAATTTTGTATGGCAACGCATTTTCGAATTTTCATAATTAACATTAAAAAATAAAAATTAAAATTATTCGTCAAATATTATTCTATATTGTAAAATATATAACTATGACAAATATTAAAAATTGTAATATACTATAAAGATATAAAAACATTTTCTATGGAACAAGTTTATTTAAAGAAAAATATAATGTTACAAATTTACATTTTGTGAAGACAAAAAATTTGTTATGAAAAATAAGAAAATTTTACAGTAATTTAATTAATTATGTAATTCCATATTTATTGTGGAATTATAACGTTTAATAATATTCAAAAATTTTACAGTATATGTTTCGCAACATAAACTAGCATATTTGCAGTGGACATCAACAAAAAACTAAATATTGTTATAATTATTTTAATTATTTTTCTTACAATTATATGAACACCTTAAATTAATATTGAATTGATAGTAAATTAATATTAAATTAATCAATGAAAAATTATTCAGTTATCAGAGTACATTCAGTTATCAAAGTAAAATAATAGTGCAACTATTTTAAACAATTTCAACATTAATTGACTACTTAATGCATCAGTTTCCGTAACGAATTTTAGTGAGAGAGACTTCCATTTTTTACCTTCTCCGTTATCTATTTTTACGCATCACTGGACGGTCTGCTTTCATGCCAAGTCTTTTGTCTATTGTTCAATGTCTTCTTTCAATTTCCATTGTTTCCCTCTGCTGAGTTTTTTTCCATCCTGAAATTGCTGAGTTTTTTCGAGTCTAATTGCTCTTTTTGTGATAGTGTCTTTCAAGAAATTTATTCTCCTCTTCCCATTCAATGCTTTTTAGTCTTGCGGTTTAGAAGCGACGTCTCACAAGTACCTCATTCAAATTTTAGAATTTTAGAATATGTGAGAGAATGAGTGGGAAAACGCGTCAAAATAAGACCAAAGAATAGTCATGTTATGTAAAATGTTATCCTTAAATATTGTTATACTGTTTTTGTTGTACGAATGCATATGTGTACATACATTCTCTTATTGTAACTTATTTACTCTGTGTATATATGTATATACAATGTACATACATACATACATACATACATACATACATATATACATGCATACATACATACATACATACATACATACATACATACATACATATACATATGTATAAGCATACATACATGTATACGAACATACATTTCTAAAATTGAAACTATATCCAAAACAAAAATTACAACGAGATATACTACAATGACCACTTACTGATTTTTGACTTTTTATTCAATTCATGTCACAAGATTAAGAAAATATATTGATCATAACATATAATTAATTTGCAATTAATAGTCATAAGATTTATACGAGTACTGTTCAGGACATAACAGTAATATTGATAGAAACACTATCACGAAACATCCCATTTCCGTTAGTTGATCATTTAATGAGACTTCCTGTTGATCGATTTCAGGGACGAGGCGTAGGATGGGCCCGACCGTGCGAGGAGTCGTGCTACACTGAAGAGGAGGTGCTCCCCTGAAAAAGAGAGAAAAGGAGGAAGGAACGAAGGATGCCTGCCTCGCAATCCGCCGCCACAGAGCGGCGAAACGAGAGGATGGTCAGTATTTTTTGTATATTTGTTGTTAGAACTGTTCAAATTTGAAGGAACCGGGTGTTTTTATTATTTAATATTTAGCGATTGCAATTTAGGAATTTGGGAATTTAGGAATTTGGGAATTTAGGAATTTGGGAATTTGGGAATTTAGGAATTTGGGAATTTAGGAATTCAGGAATTCAGGAATTCAGGAAATTAGGAATGTAGGAATTCAGGAAATTAGGAATGTAGGAATTTAGGAATTTGGGAATTTAGGAATTTGGGAATTTAGGAACTTAGGAATTTAGGAATTTAGGATTTTGGGGATTTAGAGATTTGGAGTTTCGAAATTTAGAAATTTAGAAATTTAGAAATTTAGAAATTTAGAAATTTAGAAATTAAAAAATTTAGGAATTTATGAATGTACGTGTTTAAGAATTCGGTAATTTTACTTTAAAATCTAACAAATGACTATTAAAAATAAACCTAACCATACTTCTTTGAATTCTTCAATTAAAAAATGTATAAACTCCAATGAACTCGTATGGTTATCCTCCAATGACTTTGCAAAATGGCGTCCTATTTTTGTAATAAAACTACCGATAGAATTTCAACAGACCAATTTCTCCTTTTTGACAGTACAATGTCTCAATTTCCATTTTGATTTGCAATCAACGTCGATCGATTGCGTGCAAAAAGATTCAAAGTATAATAAAAGAATTCGATTTTCCGTGAACTCGATTGATAATCGACTCCTAACTGCCGCGCAGCGATTCGCGACGATAGTCGCTTTTGAAAAGCATTAATGGCGTAGAAGCGTGATTCCGCTTCCGGTTAACCGACGGTGCCGTAACAAATTTGCTCAATTATTAACGTTAAACGAAAACACCACTATTCTTGTCTCTCTCACCCTTTCCTCTTCTTTTTTTATCTATCTTAATGATACCCATCATCTTCCGCATTTCTTGCGTATATTTTATACCCTCTGATTCATACTCTTTCAATTTGCACTTTTACCTCGTTTTGTAAACTCTTAACGAGGAGAAAGAAACTGGTCACAATTTGTAGAGATCGACAGTTTTCGTAGAAACTGTATTGAAAATTGTTGCATTGACGTGGTACATTGAAAATATTGGAAATAACGTGTAAAATATTATTAGAAGATTTGGTTCTTTATTGTATATGTTCTTTTTTTCTGTGTCGATGCATTTTTAATTTTTACTTGTGATTTTCAATATAGAATTTTTGTTGAAAATAGCAGTTACACTCTAAATTATGTGAGCTAGAATATTCTTATACCTTTATTAAAGGTAAACATGTGTAGAGTGAAGTGGAGTAAATTCAAATTCTCAAATTTTCAAGTTCCCAAGTTCTCAAGTTTTCAAATTTTCAAGTTCCCAAGTTCTCAAGTTTTCAAATTTTCAAGTTCCCAAGTTCTCAAGTTTTCAAATTTTCAAGTTTTCAAATTCTCAAATTCTCAAATTCTCAAATTCTCAAAACTTCAAATTCTCAAATCTCCAAATTCTCAAATTTTCAAATTCTCAAATATTCAGATTCTCAAATCTCCAAATTCTCAAATCTTCAAATTCTCAAATTCTCAAGTTCTCAGATTTTCAAATTCACAAATTCTCTAATTTTTCGTATTAAGGTGAAGTGAGGTGAGTTCGTAAACAGGGCAATTGCGTATACAGGTTATTTTTATTACAATATGAGCGAAATTTCTCCATTTAGTATGTTTGTTTCCTTGTTTTGTTTCGCTATATCCCCTTTTATATTTCAGCTAAGAGTACTTGTTTGCAGTATAGAGTACTTGCACAATGCAGTAAAAAGCATTTTATAGCAGATTTGTTAATAATTCTGCTTTTGCCCCATTGCACATGAAGTAAAGTTTCAAAGTATTTTACTTCAAGTTACGCTCTTACCCCATTTTCGGGGAAAGTGCAGAGTAGTTAACATTTTAAACAATTTCCTATCAAAATCAAAATGTACAAGAAAAATTAAGGTCCTAGTTAATATTAATTAAATAGTAGTAATTGTGCAAAGCGTTCGATATCGACAGCGTTAAGTATTTACATAGCAGACTGAAAATACTTACGTTTAAATACCAACTTTACAAAAATCAGTAAATACAACAAGTCTGCACTTACCCCATTTCACCTTATGTACGATTCAAGCTAGAAAGGTATTTACATAAAATTAGAAAAATTAGTACTCATATGTAACCTAATGTCACATGTAGACTTTCTGTACTCATTTCAACTTACTTCTACATAAAAATTGCTTTGCACCCTCAAGAGTAGAATTTGCATCAATTACATGAAAGGTTCTAAATCTTACACTAACTCTTTGTTTTTATAATTCAAAAGTCAGAAATACTCTGATTTAGTACAAAGAATGTTACAAAATATTACTACTTCAAAACTTAAATCAGTATTTCGCAAAAATGTTGAAATGTTAAATAAATAATATCTGGTAAATAATGAAGATAATATTTTATTATTTCAGATCACACACGAGCCACCAAAATTAAAGACAACCCTGAAAACGCCTCCTAAACAAGCGACCAATCCTCTTCAATTCGTTAAAGTTGGACCGTGCTCGTTGTATCGTACTGCTCAGGAACAGTTGCAAAAGGTTCAGGAAGTGAAAAAGATAAAACAGGAAGTCCGCGATGATCCTGAAGATTGGCAATCGGTAAGATCACAAATCTGTAAGATAGTAATTTCAGAATTAATAAGTTCGGAATTTGGAATCTTTTAATGTTAGCAATTTGAGAATTTTCAGTTATTTAATATTACAAGTTTGGAAATTTGAAAATTTAGGAAATGTTACAACTTGAGAAGCTTCGAATTTAGAAATCGAGAAGTTTAGGAAAATAGATTTGAGAAGTTATTTGAAGAAATTTGAAAAATTGAACGGTTGAGAATTTGGGAATTTTGAAGTTTGGAAATTTGTGGTAAACTTGGGGATCTGTAGAGTTGGTAATCTTTATTGTTAGTAATTTAAGAATTTGGGAATCCAGAAATTTGACAAATTTAAGAATTTATAGAGTTGGTATTTGAAAATTTGGAAATTTGGTAATTAAAAATTTTAAAACTTGAAAACAAATCTAGAAATTAACTATAGGTAAACCAGAAAATTTCAAACTCACATATTTCATGAAACTGAAGAAAATATAGAGGTGCTCCCTCCCGTTCAAAAAAACATAGCACCCAACTACAAAATCCCTATAATACATTTTAAATTTACAAATATAACATACAAAATTTTCCCATACTAACAGGCATACCGAAAGAGTAGAATACTTGATCAGACCAACCACGGTGCAAAAAGTATTCAGTTATGTCATGCTCGTCATTCGATCACGTTACAGAATTTGGACAACTGGAAGAGCAGTCGAAGGAAGCGTCAGGAACACATAATCGAGCGGGTGGTCGAGGTGAAGAAACTCGAGCTGGAGGAACACGATCGGCAGCGTCGTCGAAGCAAGACTTTCTCAGAAATGATGGAAGAGAGGGGCAATAGGGGTCGCAAACTGAGCATCAGCTTGGCCATGTACCACGAAGAAGATGCCAATGACCTGAGCGACCTTGGTATAGGAACCAGCAGCGGAAAGAGCTCGGTTAGCGGCGACACACACGATGACACACACAGTGTCTTGGTAAGATTAACATCTTTCTCGTTACTGTCATTTTCAAACGAGACAATGAGTATCAATTTTCTCTTTTACATCGTCAGTAACTTTACTGGAATACAATGCATTTTCATTATGGCGGATATCAATTTTCTATTTTTGTATGCATTTTTGCAGAAATTCGGTGCCAAATTATATTATATGAATCGCATAATTTATCAAGTTATAAATATTTTGTGTCTTTTTATACAAAATAATAAAATATTTTGTGTTTCTCATAAAATTACGTTTTAACGTACAATTGGTTCTCTTCAAGATTGATAGATTCCATATATGATTCAAAAAAGTATATTATGACTGAAGAGATTTACTTTCACAATACGACTTTGTTTCATTTGTATAAAGTTACAGAAGCTTATGGACTGTGAATAATCTGATAATTTTGAATAACAGAATATCATGTAGCCAAATTAGGTAAATCACCCTACACATTAACTGTATAGTTAACTTTGAAACCTAATGGAACCATAGATTTCAAAAGTACCATTTGTAAAAATGAATCTTCTAAAACTAGAGCGTCACGAAATATTTTAATTAGATCTGAGAAATGAACATGATGTTACAGAGCGACAGAGACAGCGAGATAGAGAAGAATCACTCGGACGTGGACAACGTGGCAAGCGAAAGCGTGATCGGCAGCGACATCACGACATCATCGACGACCACGACAGCAACAACGACTACGATGACGAAGAAACCGTTCGGGAACGGCTTCCACAGCAACCATAATCACAACAACCAAGAGTACGATTCGGCGACCACAGCGACGACCAGTTCTCCCGAACCCGAAGAATACACATACGAGGGTGCGATTCGAGGTTACGTATCTCGAGTATCGCAGAACATACCAAGGCGATCATTAGCCAGCCTGGACGCAAAATTAGACAGTTCAAAATCATCAGCGAACGGTTCAAAGACGAGTCTAAACGACGAAGGCAAGTGTACCAATGTACCGGTAGTGAAAGTGGACATCCTGAAGAGGCGAGAGATCTTCGAGAAGGCGTCGCAGAAGAGTAGCGAGAGCAAAGCGAACAACAGGCTCTCCGGCGATTTCACTGGCACGAAATCGATCAAGGAAAGGCTGTCGAACCTGGAGAAGCAGAAACACGACGCGGAGAACAACGACAAGACCGGAAAAGCGCTGAGTAGACTATCCGGAGACATGAGCTCGATCCGCGAGCGATTATCGCACCTTGAGAAGCAAGCGTCCGAAAGAGAGAGCAAGAGCTCCACGCATCGCAAGCTGAGTACCGAAGAGCTAGAGACAGTTAGACCACTCAGAGAAAGACTGTCCACGCTGGAAAAATACAGCAGCAGCGACGAATCTGCACCAGGTACCGCTCACGAGTCCCGACACAACGGCGAGCTGTCAGCCAGGTCCATAAAAGATCGCCTGAATGCTCTGGATGCGGCCAGGAGCAAGGAAGCCGCGGATAAGAGATCCTCCGTAGGAAAGCACTCCCTGTGCTTCCGGGACCAGGAGAACAGAATCGACACATCGACACCTAGCGAGAGAAGCTCCTCCCCTGATTCAGAATATCGAGTGCCCAGGGCAGCCTTCCACAGAAGCCTGGACTCCCTGGACGCGGACGCCTCCAGTGGCCCCGATACTTTCGAGCGTGTGCAGAGTCTGGAAGAACTCGATTACGGCAGACGTTATCCGGCATCATCCTCGTCCGCTGAACTGTTGAATGATACCGATCGAGAGGATTCGGGCATTCACACGGCCGATGTCAGCTGCTCCGTCAGCCAGGCGGATGAACCCGTGGACGAGGACATCGTGCATGCCAGCACGATTATCGACAGACAACAGGAAGCGATCCAAGAGACACCGGAAGAACCTCGTGACGTCGAGACAGTCAACGAGACTGTCTCCGAACAGTGCACCGCTGGGTCCGTGAACGACATTTCGACTTCTGCCAGTCAACCGGAAGCAGTAGTAGCAAAGAAGGTAAGGTGTAACGTAGATACTGCATGTGGTAGTTTTTAGCTGATAAGAGTATACGGGATTACGTTTATGTTAAGCTACTTTGCTGGAGTATTTTGAACGCGGATCTGAATGGGATACAAAATTGAATTGCTTCGTTGGTTGGGTTATGTGTTCGGGATACATTTTTTGTTGCGGAGGTCGGTCGTCAAGTAACGTCTGCTTTGGTGATGATTCGAGTATGCGATTTGGAAATGTGAAATATAGGTGTTCTGTCTTTGTATCTGATTTTAGCTAGCTCTGGAATTTGAACATTTTGTGCTCGACAGTTTTTTAACGTTTCATTCATTTTTGTGTGTTGTGTACATTTAAGAGATAATTAAGTTTCCAAATTTTTTAATTTTCTCAAGCTTTAAATTAATTTTCAAAGAATTTAAAAAAAATAGTGAAAAGTTTACAACTAAAAGTGTGAAGTAATTTCTCTGTAATTCTGTATAAATTTCAAAGATAGTTGAGACGCGATAATACGTGTAGTATTATTACCACCGTCATCACAGAGGACATTTAATGCCGTAATAATACTACGACGGCTGGGCACAAAGTGTTAATGTTCCAAAGTAGCTTTCTCATACACTTCTCTGTCGCTTCGTCTGTCCACTTAACAAATTTATATAGCCATCTGCATCATTCGGTGTAATACATACTCAAAACCATAAGGTTTATTATTGAAATATGACATAACGTTTCAGCTTTAGTTAATATACTTCCTCAAGTTCTAAAGTTTAGATGAAACTGGCTGTTACTTCACGACTGCACCTGGATCACATCTGTTAACAATCGGCACATTCATAACTTTGAGTAATAACTTGTTTGGTTATGGGATGGGCAGGTGGTATCCAATAACTCTTTGGTTCTCTAGGGTACTGCTGACACTTCTGGGGAACTGTCGACTAACAAATCACAATCGCAGGCACACGCAGAGGTTACTAACTCAAGTACACTTCGTCCTTGTCCTGCTACGAGTCGCCCGATCGTGTATCAAAGTCCCAAAGTACCTCCTCGAAGAACACCTCCCGAAACGCTTCCCAAACCAAAGTTACCCGTCTCCAAAGAGCAGATTGAAAGCAAACTGGACTCTCAACCTGCCAAGGAGTCTAACGCAGCATCAAGCTCCGCAGTGGAGCAAGATTCCAAATGTATTATCGACGAAACGAACCAAAGCTCCTCCAACGAGGACTCAGCTAAAGTAACGACTTCTTCGCCATCGCCGGACTCCGCCATAGCAGACAGTTGTCTTCTGTCTCCTGTCAGGACGGCGATGGTTCCGACGAACCTTCAACTAGAGTCAAACGCTACCTCGAGCTGTTCCTCCAAAGAAATTCCGAAAACGACTCCAGTCACGTCTCCGCGCGCAGCCTCCAAGATCCCCACTCCGCTTCCCAGAAAGACAATAGGCGCTAAATCATCCCCGACGAGTTCCACGTCTTCCCTGAGTCCACCCATCTCACCGTCCTCTCCCAAAACGCCATCTTTAAAGACCAGGAGCATGAAAAGTCCAACCGTTCAGCTAGCATCCCCGCAGTTTCCAAAAGCATCGGAGATACCTGTCCCTGTGTCCTCTTGTGTACCTGTCTCCCCCTCCGCTTCAGAACAGTCAGCGAAACACGTATCCAGCTCGAAACACCAGGTGATGGGTGAAGAGACGCTGGCTACGGAAAGACGGCGAACGGTGGTGGAAATTTGCGAGAAGGTGGTGGTGCCACGCGGAAAAACACCTACGACACCTCCGGTGACGCCGTTCATCACGGTGGACCGCGTCGGCGAGAAGCAGACCGAGGTTAGGACCGATCAGCAATCATCTAGCAGCCCTTTCAGAAAGTCTTAACCAGGAAATCGTTCGACCCTGAAGTAATGGCTGTCGTTGAGTAGCACCGTTGTCTCTCGCTCGGGCAACCTAGTTAGACCTAGCTTCGTCTAACTTCCGATTAGATCTTGTAAATAAGAGTCGGGGCTTGGAGTGGGGCGTCCAAAATGGCGGAAGCTCGTTCGATCGTTGACGAGGTGATTAGAACGAGACTGCACGAAATCATCTGGAACGATGGTTTTCTCGTGAACGATTCCGTTAGCGACTGCGATCAATGGCGGTCTTCGTTCGAGCTGCGGCAAAAAGAGCCGCGAATGAACGCAACTCGATCCAAGATAATCCCGGAAGATCATTTCCGCGTCTCGAATCGGTCATACGAGGAAACTGAATCCTGCCACTTAGGACGCCCGGTTAATGTAACCCGTCCTCGCCTATCGCTTCCACACGTATTTATTATCCGTTATTACGCACGAATCTCGACTGGAAACGAAGGCGTGAGACCATAGCTAACGATGTAAATAGACGACGCAGGAGCAAAACGTATGTAATAACCTCGTGCCCCCACCTAACCCCATTACCCTCCCTTACCCAGTATCGAGTAGAATTAGATCAGGTAGCCGGAAACACGTACTAGCCGGAGGTAAACGATGTATCAGTTCGAGTAAAAATGATAACACTGTTCAACGCGTGCCCAGAATTGAGACATTCGATAACTTGTCAATTTTGGGGAGTATTGGAGAAATTTGATTTTTGAGAAAATTTTATTCTTTTAAACCTTTGAATTTGGGAAACTAGATTGGCTTTTATTACATTTATTGGAAAAGTTTATTAGAGAATCGAGAAAATTCTTGTTTAAAAAATTTGTATATGACAGTAGTTATAATAATAAATACAGCGATGTAGTCACAGTTCATAGAATATGATACTGCCCGTAAATGTCACAGAAATCAAAATGATTTTATGACAGTAATATCGCTATGTAAAATGCAGTGACATGGCACTGACTTCTACTTTTCACGATGAACGTTATGCTATTTAGTATTATTGCACTAATAAATGTCGCACTTTACTGTCACATGAAAGTGGACACAAGAGGTTTATTACGAGACGTACTTCAAATGATGTAACATACCTTTCTTATGCATAATTTAATATAAACGACAGTGCAAATTATATTTTATTTTCAATACAAAATCAGAACTGACAAGATATTTTAATCTTCAACAAGATCATTAAAACTTGCATATTAAATTTTTGTAATATTTTAACTTCCATAATAATTTACAATATTTTGGTAAAAATTTCATAGAAACTATTATTACTTCTAAAATTGATAATATGAAAGCTACTACTGTTCTTAAATTATTACTGATCCTAAATTTATTGATAATATAAAAATTGCTACTAGTAATAGATAATTAAAACGTCCAAAAATTAAAAAATTTAAATTTTTGACTGAATTAAATTTCTCCGAATTCGAAGACTAAAGAAAACGCACAAATTAAAAATTCGTATTTATTGCACACAAATTTATAACAAACATAATTAAATGTTATAAATTTGCGAAAAGGTTGAACAGTGTAATTTCAGATTTCCTAATGACTTATGCGAAATATTAGTGGCCTAATCTATCAGGGAACATATTTTGGACCTAAAGCAATGCCTATATCGATCGTAAAACTTTTTGATAACAAGATTCGAGCGATTTTGGCGTCAGTGAAACGTCGATCTATTTAACGTGAAAATTTCTTTTTCTATAGCTATTCTTAAGATTCTTACGCTAATTTATAGGAAAGAGCGAAGAAAAGACCGTACTGCCGTTTTCAGAATCACTTTGAACGTATAAGACTTAAATTTTTGATATATTCGTATAATCGATTTTAATGCGACTCGTCGACAATTGGCGCGCTGGTAGTGGATAACGATCGATTGTAGCACTCGAGAGGAATTGAATTATAAAATATACCCCGCCGTGTTTCCATGGTGAACTAGCACCGAGACTTTCCTCGAAATAGGGATTTTGTAGCACGAATCGGTGAAATTCTGGAATATTGTCTCAGAACAGAAAACTTTCTATGGAGTTTAATTTTGTGAAGTGTACTAGTGGATGAAATTGTTGGACACCCGAAAATTATGAATGTTAACATTTCCTGAGACTTTTATAAACTTCTGAATTTATGGACTGAATTATTATTCGTTTTTGAATTATTAAATTTTTTCATTTTTGAATTAGTAATTTTTTGAATTTCTGTCTTTTTATATTTCCTCATTTCTGGATTTCTGGAATTTTAGAATTTTGGACTTCTGGAATTCTGGATTTTTAGAAGTTTACAATTTTGGAGTTCTGGAATTTTGGCATTTTGGAGTTCTGATATTCTGGAATTCTGGAATTTTTGAGTACTGGAATTCTGGATTTCTGGATTTCTGGAATTCTAGAATTTTTGAGTTCTGGAATTCTGGATTTCTGAATTTCTGGATTTCTGGATTTCTGAATTTCTGGATTTCTGGATTTCTGGATTTCTGGATTTCTGGATTTCTGGATTTCTAGATTCCTGAGTTTCTAAATTTCTGAATTTCTAAATTTCTAAAATTCTAAATTATTATACTTCTGTTTCCCTTAATTTCTAATATTGCAATTTTCTAAATTTTTGCATTTTTACGTTTTTAAATTCCTAAATTCCTAAATTTCTAAATTATCAAGTAAAGTTTTTTAACTTTGAAGATTTGCTAAATTCAGATTCTTTTAATTTCTAAATTTCCATGTAGTAAATTAAATATCTGAAGTGAAAAATTTAATTATATTAATAAATGAGTATTTTGAATATTAATGAAAAGAGTTCTCCTAAAAAAAAATATTTAAAGAATTTGAAGATCTGTTATTAAACTGTTTTCAATTAAATCTGTTATTAATCAGAACGTTCAAATTAAAGTATCATGATTTCCACAAAAAAATTGTAATATTTTAGTAATTAAAAAAATATATCCAAAAATTGAATAAAAATTTTTATATACTACAATATTTTTTATCAACAACGACCATATTCTATGAATTTAGAAAATATCAAGTTATTACATTTTTATTATAATTATATTTTTACATTTTAATTATATTTTTTTTTATTCAAATTAAGAATTCATCGTATTCGTTATTAATTTTCAAAGTCATTACTTAAAAATGATTTACACCAATATTAATACAACATTAAAATACATCATTAAAACCTAGTTCAAATGATTTTCGGAGTGTCTCACATTTTCATTCACAGATTCACTTTCGCTTCAAAAAATCCCTGTTTCGATTCGAATCTAATCGAAAGCCTTTCACCCGAACGAACATACACTGCCGAAAAACGAATAGAAACCCCATAACTCGTCGATTACCCTCACGTACTATTGTCTGTGCCACTTCGAATTGATCGAAACGAAAGCTGGAAATTCTGCTGAATATATTCGAAACATGTCTGAATGGCAAATAAAGGGGAAACAGTATAAATTTTTATCGAGTGTCTTTCGTTGACTTTATCCGTCACGATCACGAATTCACGAGAAAAAAGAAAAATTCAACGATCGTTTCGCAACGATCGTCAAAAATTGTCTTATCATTTTCACGGAATCGTTATCAACGTACAAACGATTCGAGCTTCGACGTGTACTCACGATCCGATGTCCAAAGTGTCGTCCTCGTGACCCCAGCCAGATCGGAGGTCAAACATTTAATTATTACGAAAGAGTCGCGATAAAAGTGTCCTGAATTATTACGATTAATCGTTCGTTTATCTCGAGTGGTCTCGTTTGCGGTGATTGACTATAGTGACACCGTGATCGCTGATTTCTGAGAGGTAAGAACACTGGGACACGATTTTAAGATTGTTAGTTTTTTCTGGAGAACTATTGGCTCTACAAAATTTCTTGGTAATTATCGAAAATCTTGATTAATATTTTAGAGTTGGTAATAGTGGATTTGATTGATTAAACATTGATTTGATTGAAGGAGGACTGGATTAGATATTGAAGAAAATGAGCACTGTAACAGATAGTGTTTAGGGTATAAGGAAAGAGGATGTTAAGTTTTCATTTTTAGATTTATGATGATATTTTGCAAAGTACATTTTTTAGTTTCAAAACTTGAACATACGAAATTTTTGAAATTCGAAGGCTTGAAGTCTTGGAGTTGTGAAATTTTGTAAGTTTTGAAGATACTTGTATTCTGAAATACTATATTTTTGAAATTTCAGTCATGAAGTGTCGATGATCAAACATTTTTATATTTTGCAATTTTAATATATAAAATTTGTGAAACTCTAAAGTTCTAATGTTTCAAAGTTTTTAAATTTCGAAATCTTTTATTTTCAAGGTTTGAGAACAATTCCCAAGATTTCAAAATTCTGAAAACTCAAGAACCCAAATTTTCAAAATTCAAAATATTCAAAATTTCAATAACTCAAAGGACGACTGAAATTTCCGGTATTCAAAGACTCAAATTTCCAAAATTCAAAAATCCAAATTTTCAATACTCAAAACATTCAAAATTCCAATAACTCAAAGGACGGCTCAAGTTTCCAAAATTTCCGAAATTCAAAGACTCAAATTTCCAAAATTCAGACCCAAATTTTCAAAATTCAAAATATTCAAAATTCCAATAACTCAAAGGACGGCTCAAGTTTCCAAAATTTCCGAAATTCAAAGACTCAAATTTCCAAAATTCAGACCCAAATTTTCAAAATTCAAAATATTCAAAATTCCAATAACTCAAAGGACGGCTCAAGTTTCCAAAATTTCCGAAATTCAAAGACTCAAATTTCCAAAATTCAAACCCAAATTTTCAAAACTCAAAATATTCAAAATTCCAATAACTCAAAGGACGACTCAAGTTTCCAAAATTTCCGAAATTCAAAGACTCAAATTTCCAAAATTCAGACCCAAATTTTCAAAATTCAAAATATTCAAAATTCCAATAACTCAAAGGACGGCTC